TGAGTGGAAGGCGGCCTTCGACGCGAGCGACCTGGAAGAGTGGCGCAAGTGGGTCGAGTACGACGCCGTGGAGTGGCCTACCGACGAGGAGCTCGCGGGAGTCGACCAGTCGGCGATCCTGCCCATGAGGCGCGTCCGCACGGACAAGAACGAGGCGACGAGAGGCAACTTGTCGTACGAGCAGCATCCGCTCAAGGCGAAGTCCAGGAACATCGTCCCGGGCTACAAGGACAAGCAGCTGCTCGCGGGGGAGTTGAAGACCAATGCTCCTACGCTGACGGACGTGGCCACGGCGGTGATCGTGCAGGAGGCGGCCAGCCAGGAGGGCTGGAGGCTGGAGCAAGGCGACGTCGACTCGGCGTTTCTGAACGGGAAGTACCTCGACGACTCTCGGCGCGTGTACTTTCGTGCGCCGAAAGGCGGACTGCCGGCGGTGCCCGAGTTGGGCTGGCCAGCGGTTCCCGAGGGGACGGTGCTGAAAGCGAAGAAGGGCATCTACGGGCTGAACGACGCACCACTGCTGTGGTACGAGGAGCATCGAGATACCATACTGTCCCTGCCCGGTGCATCAAGGTCGAAGCTGTGCCCGGCTCTCTTCATCTTCCACGACGAGCACGGGAAGCTGATCGGCCTGATCGGGACGCATGTGGACGACGATTTGGTAGCGGGCTCGCCCGAGTTCTTCGCTAACCAGGTGGCCAAGCTGAGGAAGATTCACTGTTACGGCAAGTGGCAGACGGCGAAGGCCGGCTTCCATCACTGCGGGCGCTTCCTCAAGCAGAACGACGATGGCACCATCACCTGCAGCCAGAAGGAGTACACCGAGAGCATCGAGAAGATACCGATCTCGAGCGAGCGTCGCAAGGACAAGGAGGCGAAGGCTACTGCTGAGGAGAGGGCGATGCTCCACAGCGGCAATGGCCAGATCCAGTGGCTGGTGCGGTCGACCCGCATGGACTTGGCGTTCCGGCTGGTGGGAAGCCAGGCAAGGGCTCACGACAGCGACCTGAAGGTTCAGGACCTGCTGGATTTCAACAAGCTGGTGAGCGACGCCAAGACGGACCACGTGGACATCACCTTCCAGAAGATCAACATAGACGACGCGATCGTGGTTGCAGTTGGGGATTCTAGCCATGGCAACGTGGGCAAGACGAAGACCGCTAGCCAGGCGGGCTTGGTCATCCTGCTCGCGGACAACAAGGACGACAAGTTCCTGCAGGGGAGACCGGCCAAGGTCACACCCATGCTGTGGCGATCACACCGGATCAAGCGAGTGGTCCGCAGCACCCTCTCTGCCGAGACGATGGCGGCGCTGGAGGCGGTCGAGAGCGGGGACATGCTGAGGCAGCACCTGGTGGAGCTGCACTACGGACTCGGCTACCGGACTCACATGGAGGACGTGAAGGCCATCAAGATGGTGGAGGTCACGGACTGCAAGTCGCTCTACGACCTACTCCAGAAGCGAGGGACGGTACCCTCCGAGAGGCGGCTGCTGATCGACATCGAGGCGCTCAGGAATGACTTGGAGTTCAACAACGTGGTGAGCAAGTGGGTGAACACGAAGCAGATGCTCGCCGACTGCCTCACCAAGAACGACGTGCGCGCTGGCGACTACATGAGGTACGTGCTCCAGACCGGCGAGTACCGGCTCACCGAGGACCTCATGGCCGACCAGATCATAGCCAAGCAGAGGATGGAGCTCAAGGGACGCAGGGGCGAGTACTACCGCGCGAAGTACCCCAAGAGACTGCGACCTGCCGAACAACACTACGTTCACGAAGGCTACACCTACTTCGAGGAGTGCATCGCGGACGTTCGGTACAACGCGCGCGTGCTGCAGCCTGCTCCGAAGCCATACCTCCGATGGCGTATGACACTCGGCCAGCGCGAGGACGACGTTTACTACGAGAAGCTTGAGGAGATGGTCGACTGGTCTGGCCTGGACCAGGTGTCGAAGCGCAGGAGGATCCCCACGCAGATTCGGAAGCTGCTGACGATCTATGCGCCGACCAAGGCCGCCCTCGAGCGCTACGAGAAGGACTTCACGGAGAAGCACGTGATCAAGAAGCCGAAGGTGACCGACGAGGGCGACATGCAGGACAAGCTGGATGTTACCGAGGATCTTGGTGCGATCGTGGAGTCGGCCGAGACGGTGAAGGTGGACGGCACCAACGAGGTCGCGGAGATCTACATGATGGACGCTGCGGGTGCCGAGACCGAGGAGGTCAAGTCAGGCGCCGCCGCGGCCGCGACGGTGGTTGTGTGTGCGGTGTGCCGCATGGTGGTGGATCAGTGCGAGTGTGGACCGCGAACCCGCAAGAAGGCCAACCAGCGATCATCGTGCTCAACCCATCCGGGAGAGCTACCGCCGGTACCAGGTGACGACGAGGAAGGCGGAGATGACGCCGGTGAATGGGAAAAGCTACCACACCGACTCTACCAGGAGCGGCAGAAGTCTACGACACCGACGAAGAAGGCCATGATGAAGGCCCGCGCGTTGCACGAGAAGACCAAGCACGCATCCTACATGCAGATCGAGGAGGACTTCGGCGAAGTGCTGGAGGACGGCGTCCTGGAGGCGTACGAGGTGGTCGTCAACAACTGCGACGTGTGCCGGAAGGGCAAGAAGACCTACGCCTCGGTGCAACGCGGAGTCAACATCAAGGAGTTCTGGATGGACGGGTCCAGCAGCAGCCACCAGGGGAAGAGTCAGGGCAAGACCGGCCCCAGCTCTGATCACTGCGAGCACCCGAAAGAGAAGCTCACGACCCGAGGGAGCAACCAGTACAAGGACAAGCTGAGGTGCATGCAGTGTGGCTCACTGCTGGTGGACACCGACACCGACTGGTGGCGGCAGGAGAAGGAGTATCGTGCCCAGGAGAAGCTCCTCCGTGCTGAGAAGGAGAAGCAGGTGCAAGCTGAGATGAAGGCCATCCGCTTGCGCGACATGTACAAGAAGGCCTCTGGCGAGACCAGGGCGACTTCCGCCCAGGGCACGAGCTCGACATCTCCGACGTGAGCTACCACGTGGAGAACTACCACACTGCCATTTTGGCAAGCACGGGCATCTTCGCGGTTTGCGACGACGCCTGCCTTTTGCTGTTGAACTGAGGGCTATGCCCAGCGCCCGCCTGCCGCGAGCCACGCTTAGTCAAAGAAAATAACACGAGTGTAGATTCTGTGTGATGAACAGTTTGACACGCGTGTGTGCAGCGCCGGCGCTTGGGCTCGAGCTAAAAGATAGCGGCTCCCTCCCACGGCAGTGGCATCGGGTGGGGGCGGCGATAGCGGCTGTCGGCACTATCGATCGAGTTCGAGCTGGTGACGAACCCCAGTGTCCGAGGGAGACGCTCGGGGATAAGTTCTGACGAGAACGAGGCACGTCTTGATCCCGCCGCGTGTGAGTGTGTGAGTGTGTGTGTGTTTGTGTGTGCGTGCGTGCGTGCGTGCGTGCGTGCGTGGCGCGCGCCCGCCGTTGGCCGCACAAGCCCGCTGCTCCCGCGAGCCGCATCCATGCCCCTTGAACGCGGCGGCAGCCGGCGACGTGCTCGTCGGCCTCGCCCTTCGAAGCGGGTCCGGCGTGTTCGGGATGGTGATCTCGATTCGCACGCATCACGGCGATGCAGTGTTTCAGGCCCCGCCGATTGGCACACGTTGCCCGCTATCTGCGGCGGCGCGCATGCCGTGCCGCTGACCGAGGATGCACGCACGGGCATGTCTTGTCAGGCTCCTTTGGACGGGGGCGCTCGAAGGCTTGCCCAGGGAACTCGCAAGCTATCTGCGCAGGCGGTCTTGTGAGAAGAACAGCTAGGGGTGGCAGGAGGCAGTGGGAGGAGGAACGAGAACGCACCGTCCAGGAATCATCTAGGACGTTGTGAGTCGCTCGAGTATGCCACATCTTGTAAACCTCGTCTCTCCACCCTCCCCCCTCGCTCTTTAGGTCTCTGCAGGGCGCTGGAGGTCTCCAGAGGTCCCCAAGCATCTCTGGAGACCTCGGGAGGCCACCATGCCAAGAACGGGCCAAGAAGGTCCAAAACTCTACACCATCAAATCTCGAACGTCGACTGTTCCCCCTCCTCACTCGCTCCATCCCCGAAGGATTCACTCCCTGCCCAGGCCTTCACAGGAACGGTTTTGGGTCCTGATTACAACCTTCCAGGAACTCGCAGAGCCTCCAAGCAGCAGATGAAAGATCCTTCCCTTTTCCTTTTCCTTCTCCTGTCCTTCCCTCATTTTTCATTTCCTTCTCATCGCATTCTCACCCCCCCCATTTCAGAAGCCGCCCTAGAACGCATGCAACATCAGACAACCTCCAACAGTTTGAGCAATTTCAGGCCTTCCTAGAATACCAGGCCGAAGACCGTCGAAGCCATCCGAACGCCTCCGAACCTTTGAATACGTTCGAGAACATCCACGCACCTCCGAACACCTTTGAAAACGCCTGCCGCTCCCTCCTCCACTTCCTCCCGCTATTCCGCCTCCCTCCCTCTTCCCTCGCAGCGGGCTGAATCAGCAGGGGGCGCACATCCGAAGGGCTTTTCTCAGCACAGCCTGCTGCCGGCGCGCAACCCCAACCCCAAAAAGGAGCCGACAGAGTTCTCGAATCTCTCAGATCCTCGATCCCCGCCCCCGAGCCTCCACGACGCTGGCGGCGACGACGATGGCGACTAGACCAACTGCGGCGGCATGTGACGGCGGCGGCGGCGGCGTCGATGGGCGGGGCCAGGACAGGGATAATTCCGTACCAGAGCCTTCCGGAACGCTCTCAGACCCTTGCAGAACGCTTTGAGAAGGCCGCGGCGCCCGAGACATCCTCCAGAGCCGCCAGATCCGAGAGATTCTCGATTCATCCGCACCCGAATTTATCCTCGTCCTGTCTTCGTCTGAGATGGCGGCGGCGGCCACGACGACGACGAGGGTGGCGAATGCGAATGCGGCGACGACGACGGCGACGACTGCGCCGCCGACGACGCCAGCGGCGGCGCCGACGACTTCGAGAGGCCCTCGTCCTGAGCCGGGGCGACTCCGCGGGCTTCGACCCAGCGGCTGGCGGCGGTGGCGGCCCGCCCTGAGGGCAGGCAGGCAGGCAACCTTACTGTTGAGTCGGGCATGCCCCTGTACAGGAGGTATATAGTCAAGAGTAGGAAGACATAGTCTGGGAACGCTTGTTTCGTGCTCATGCCCCTCTACAGGATGGATGCATTGAAGAGTAAGAAAGCATAATCTGGGGACGCCTCATGCCCCGCTACAGGAGGGAGACATTCAAGAGTAAGAAAGCATAGTCTGGGGGCGCTTGCTTCGCGCTCTCTTTGTTTTGTTATGTTGGATTATGTGCTGACCCTCTTTTTATATTTTTTCCAGGATCCGCCTGTAGGAGGACATGCCCGACTCAACCTCACTGTCGGACAGCAGCGCGCCCCGCCCGGCGCGGGGCCAGGGTGTGGTATGGGCTGGCACGCGCTGTGTCGCCGCGGCCGCCCCAGACATCGGGCGCCTCGAAAGAAGTCGAGACGCCAGCCTTTCGTCGTTTTCGGCCTCCTCCTCCACCTCCTCCTCCTTCCCCTCCTCCTCCTCCTCCTCCTCCTCCTCCTCCTCCGCCTCCTCCTCCTCCTCCTCCTCCTCGTCCTCCCTCCATGTCCTCCTCGGGTCCCGGGGGCCCTCGGCGTGCCTCGGGACCGCCGAACAACGCTTCGGGAGGAGGCATCGGTCCCGGGGAAGACGCGGGCGGGAGAGGTCGGTGGGCCACGCCTGGAAAACGTCGGCACTGGCGGCTGTCTGGGTGCGGCCCCGCCGCGGGCGCTCAATAGGGAGCACACAGAGGACGTACGCGCCCAGCTATGTATGCAAACGCGGCCCCTCGACGCGCGAGACCAGCCGCGTTGTACGAACATTTGCGCAGTGCGCACCCTCGAAACCAGCGTGGATTCATGTACGCGCACGCCCTTCTTTCGCTCCTGATTCAAGGTTGCACGACACCAGCTTGCCCGGAACCGACCAGTGTGGAACGCTCTGGCGATGGAAGGGCTGCCGATTGTTCAAGGTGGCACGATCCACGCGGTGTCAGAGACCAACGCCGGGGTCGTCACAGCACGAGCTCGCCGTGGGCACCGCAGTGCTTCAGTGCACTACCCAGACATCCGTCGATCATGATTTCTGCCGCTGCGAGGCCACGGAGCGTCCGACCGCGCCCTTGGGCCAGAGCTTCGCCCAGCATCCGCTTTTGGTGGCTCTGGTGCCCGATCGCTCACCACCCACGTAATCACTCCGACCCGACCCGAAGGCTTCAGCTTGCCCTCCGTTTCCAGTGGGGTTGGGGGGGGGGGGTCTGGGAGCATTTGGAGAACACAGGTGGAGCCCGTACCCCCTCCAACCCGAACAGATTGTCTGTCTGTCTGTCTGTCTGTCTGTCTGTATGTATGTATAAAATGTATGTATGCATGCATGTATGTGTGTTTGTATGTATGTATGCATGTATGTATGCATGTATGCATGCATGCGTGGTTGCATGTATGTATGTATGTAAGTAAGTATGTGTGTGTGGTTGTTTGTTTGTTTGTTTGTTTGTATGTATGTATGTATGTGTATGTATGTACGTATATATGTATGTATGTGTGTATGTATGTATGTATGTATGTGTGTATGTATGTATGTATGTATGTATGTATGTATGTATGTATGTATGTATGTATGGAATGGAATGGAATGGAATGGAATGGAATGGAATGGAATGGAATGGAATGGAATGTAATGTAATGTAATGTAATGTAATGTAATGTAATGCATGTATGTATGTATGTATGTATGTATGTATGTATGTATGTATGTATGTATGTACACGTGTATGTTTGTATGTATGATTGTATGCATGCGTGCGTGCGTGCATGCATGTATGTATGCCTGCATGCATGCATGCATGTATGTATATATGTGTGTTTTTTATGTATGTATATATGTATGTATGTCTATACGTATGTCTGTATATATATATATATATATAGATATACCTATATATCTCGGAGTAGGGCCTGGCGTGGTCTGGTAGGCAGTCAATCGCTGGCCCCAATTCGAGGAGGTCACGCCATGCTGAAATCAGTCGCAGCGTCGGACGTCTGGCGCCGCGCTCTCCCCGCGGGGGGGTCCTCGGCCGAGCAGCCTCCCCGCGGGCGCCCTGCAGCCCGGGCGCCCTGTGCGGTGGAGGCCCACGCCCAAGACGCGCCCTGCTTGCCTCTTGGGCGCCCTGGGTTGCCCAGGAGGGGAACAAAAAACACAGACACAATGACTCGTCGATTCCGCAGAAAATATTGGGAAACTGTGGGCAGTGTGGGGGGGAGGACAGAAGCCAGCACAGGTGGGATAACATGGGGAATCTTTTTACATTTGTGTGTATTTCTTTGTGTGTCCCAGGGCCCCTTCAGTTGCCTGGGTCCCGATGGTTTCGCGATGCAGAGCGTGCCGCTCCCGCACCGGAAGCTGAGGCGCGTCCTGGGGTCTCAGGGTTGG